GGTCTCTAGTTCACTGCTGCAGACGTCAGGTTAGCTGAGCCAAAAGTCACTGGGGATTCTCAGGTCTCACCAAGGGAGTACTGCTTACGGCTGCCCCGTGCCTGGCTTCATGTGGGTTCCTGGGAGGATTTGAACTCAGGTCCTCACACTTGTGATTCACCCTAGGGTCCTTGGTTCTGTCCTTCTAGACGCTCCTTTGGAGTTCATAGCCTCCGTCTATGACTGATCAAAGATGACCCACAGGGACATAGCAGTGACTCACACAGGCAGGGGAACCTCTGGACATGGAGGGCACAGTCTCCGTTCTTGGGCTCTGGGCCTCCCTCAAGCTCATCTTTCTCTTGACGCTACCTTGGCCCCTGAGTGCCGGGTAACAGGCGTGGGTTTCTCAGTAAGCAATCAAGTTTGTATAAAAGAGACTTTTAAGTAATTTGAAGACTGAAGATGGGCTTGTGTTTCTTTACAGGGCTGTCGTGTCTTTGGGTTCCCCACTCCCATCTGCTAGCTTTTCCTCCTGCCCCAGGCCTTCCTGTGGCATTCCGTGGGCTGTAGCTGCAGATATGTTCCTGAACCTTTGGTATGTCTGAATATCCTATTTTGTCTCCTGCTTTAAAAAAAAATAATTTAATTGGATCGTCGAGACGGTTCCATAAGTAAAGGCGCCTGCCAGCACTCAGGCCTGAGCACAGCAGTGGCTCCCACAGGGTGGAGGCAGAGAACTGACTCTCTGACCTCAGCTCTGCACAGGCTCGAACACAAATACATGCAGGCTCGCACAAAAATACATTTTAAAAAATGTAACAAATATTTAAAGGGCAAAGTTGGAAGACAGAGAGAGAGAGAGAGAGAGAGAGAGAGCGCACAGAAGCAAGCCATGGCTCTAGATACTGTTTATAAGACTGCAATATCATGAAGTATTTTCTCTTACCAGAGCGGAAATCAAAATCAAGAGGATATCTCAAAACACCGCAAGTATTTGGAAAGTAAATAGCCCCGAGGTCAAAAAGGAAGTAAAAAAAATTATATAAAACTAAATTCGAAAGAAAATAGGAAAGGGGGATTATGGGGTGTGAGATGGCTCGGTGGGGGAGAGGGCTTGTGGGGGGGACAGCTTGATGGGGTGGGAGCTATGACACTGCTAAGGGCTGGGGGGGGGTGTTGAGATAGTTTGGTGGAGGGGGCGGAGGAGGGGTTGGAGGAAGGTTTGAGATGCCTTGAGGGGGGAGCAGGGGGTTGAGAAGGGTGGATAGGGCGGAGAGACCGCTTGGTGGGGGTGTGGAGGGGGTGCTGAGATGTCTTACATGGGGAGGAGGGAGTGAGATGGGCTTCACAGGGCAGGGGAGAGCTTCGCAGGGGGCAGCGTGTTGAGATGCTTGCTGGGTAAAGGCACAGCCAAACCTGGTTTGATTCCTGGGACCCACTTGATGGAAGAGAGACCTGGCCACAGGAAATCATGTCTGACCTCAGCCAGCCAATACATAATGAATAACTAAATGAAAAAACAAAACAGAACAAAAGCCAGGCACTGCGGTTCATGTTTACGAACCCCATACTTGGAAGGTTGAGGCCGGAGGATCAGAAGTTCCAAGCCAGCCTCAGCTGAGTATGGATCACCAAAGATTCTAAACCCAAACATACTTTTCAGACCCCCCACTTCCAACTGTGTGCTCTGGGGTACCCAGGGCAAACATCAGGGAGTGTCTTTAGGGTTCTGTGGATTTCAACAGTGACATACCCACCTCCCCTCAGATAGGAAGTTGGGGAATATTCTAGATCAAAACAGGAAAGAAGGCTGGGGTTGGAGAGACAGCTCAGCGATTAAGAGACTGACTGCTCTTCCAGAGGTCCTGAGTTCAATTCCCAGCAACCACATGGTGGCTCACAGCCATCTTGTCTATTGTATGTTATCTATTGTAATGGAATCCAATGTCCTCTTCTGGGTGTGTCTTTAGATAAAGACAGTGTGTTCACCTACATAAAAACCACCACCAACAAAAAGCCGGGCACTGGTGGCACACACTTGGGAGACAGAGGCAGGCGGATTTCTGAGTTCGAGGCCAGCCTGGTCTACACAGTGAGTTCCAGGACAGCCAGGACTGTCTCAAAAAACCAAAAAAAAAAAAAAAAAAAAAAACCCAAAAACCACCACCAAAAGAACCCCCCAAAACTAGGAAGGCCACTTCCAATCTTGGGCGGTGAGGGGGGGGGGGGAGAAAGTCTTTGTTTGTTTATTTAGTGCAAGTACACAGTGGAAGTGTCTCTAAAATGTCTTCCTTGAGGGAATTGTAAACCATATCTACCTCCCACCGCGGTCCCAATGATAAACTGAGGCACGTTTGCCAAAGTTCTCCTGGAGAAACAGAGATCTTATTAGGCTTCCTTCCAGAGCAGGGGTGGGGCTGACTGGCAGAAGCTCTGTGTAGATGGAGTCTCACACTCCTAGTCCTTTCCAACCATGTCCCTCTCTGAGGTCACATGAGTTTAGGACAGAATTGTATACACCTGGCTGGGAGAGGCTGAGGCCACTCAGGGGAGGGTCCCATTACCTTTCTTCTGCAGGGGAAGGCCAAGGGCAACCTACCCCAGCTGTGGTGATGTTTTCTGTCTGCCCCGCCTGGCTACAGAAAGAGTTTGGCTTGTTAGATGCTCCAATAGAATGCACAAAACCTGGTAAGGGTTATGTCCTGCCTTGTGAATCCTGAGGACCAAACACAGGTTGTACGTGGAGGCAGCAAGTGCCTTCACCAGGCCCAGGTCTCCAGTCTTTAAACACTTACGCAGTATTCCCTTTAGGGCTACTTCAGACCCCCACCGTACCATTTACCCATTGGTATTTTGTGATTCCTTCCAACAACCATGATGCTAACCCAAGTGCTCTCCCACCAACTCACACACCCAGCCCCTCCCTGGGAGATCTGAGGTGAGGGTTTAGCCACTTGACTACAGCCTGGACTTGCTGGCCTTCAACTCTGGAGCCTCTCAGCCTCAGCAACAGTGTACCTGACCCCAGCTGTCTTTGGATCCTGGCTCCAGTTTGTTGACAGAGTGAATGATTGTGACCCGAAACCCAATCAGACAGGAAGGCCGAGAGGTCAATGTCTTCCCTCTTCCACTTAGTTTGACAGCATTGGTTCGGCCCATCTGAGCCAAAACCCACTCTTGTGTCCCATTTCTTCAGTTCGATTCTCTTGGTGTGCTGTTTTCAAGGCTGATCTGAATTGTATCTGGTACCAATCTCTCAATTTCTTTCTTTAATGATTTCCTTATTATTCAACAGTTTGTTTGTTTGTTTGTTTGTTTTTGAGACAGGGTTTCTCTGTGTAGCCCTCACTGTCCTGGGACTCACTCTGTAGACCAGGCTGGCCTTGAACTTAACAGAGAGAGATTCGCCTGCTTCTGCCTCCCAAGTGCTGGGATTAAAGGCATGCGCCACCACTGCCTGGTGGTCTTTTATAATTTTTTTTTTGTTTTGTTTTTTCGAGACAGGGTTTCTCTGTGTAGTCCTGGCTGTCCTGGGACTCACTCTGTAGACCAGGCTGGCCTCGAACTCAGAAATCCGCTTGCCTCTGCCTCAAAAGTGCCATTTATAAATTTTAAGTTAGATTTATTCATTTTGTTTTATGTGTTTGGCCAGCAGGTACATAAGTGCTCCCTATGCATGCCTGGTGTCTGAGGAGGTTAGAAGGTGGTGTCAGTCCCCTGGACCTGGAGTTATTGGCAGTTTTGACCCACCACGTGGGTGCTGGGCACCAAACCCGGGTCCTCTGGAAGAGCAACAAGTGCTCTTAAGTCATCTTTCCAGCCAATTAAAAAAGATATATTTTTACTTTATGTGCTTCAGTATTTATCTGCATGTGGAAGAGAGTTGGATCCTCTAGAACAGGGGTAACAGAACTGCCCAGTGTCGGTGCCGGGAGCTGAACTCTGATCCTCTGAAATGGTGGCAAAGGCCCTTAACCCGGAGCCATTTCCCAGCCCCTTTTCTGTTTTGAGAAAGGGTCTAGCTTTGTAGCCCAGGCTGGCTTGGAACTCATTATTCAGACCAGGTTGCTCTCGACTCATAATCCTCCTGAAACACCCCGAGTTGGATATGTAAACGTTTGCTGCTATGCTCACCCCTGGTTTGTCGTTTCTCTCTGGGGACAAATGGCGCTCCTTAGCAAAGATATGCACCCATTTTTGTTTACCTGTGTGTCAGTTACTGGACATTTACGTTGTTTCTTCTTTGACTGCAATGGGCCATACAAAGTTGGGCTTAGCAGACAATGGCTGAAGAGTTCCAGGCTAGCCAAGGCCACAAACAGAGCTGTCTCAAAAGGGGGACGGGATTCATGTCCATAATCCCAACACTTGGGAACCTGAGACAGGAAAGTTGAGACTAGCTTAGGCTACATAGCATAGACCCACACTCTAGCCGGGTGTGGTGGTGGTGCGCACCCTTAATACCCACTTGGGAGGCAGAGGCAGGTGAATCTTTGTGAGTTCAAGGCCAGCCTAGTTAACAGAGAGTTCCAAGATAGCCAGGGCTACATAGAGAAACCCTGTCTCGAAAAAAAAAATCAGTATTTTCTAGGGCTGGGGTCTTGGCTCAGGAGAGAGAGAACTTACTGCCTAGTATACACAAAGCCCTACTCGAGGTGTGTTGGCACACACCAGTAATTCCAGCACT